CCGCCACGGAACCGTCCGTCAGCGTCTCGTCGCGGCTAGCGCCGTTGGTTCCCTCTGCATTCTCCTTGGAGTCGTGGTGCTTCTTCTTTTTCTTCTTCTTATTCGATTCGGCGTCGTTTTGAGGGTCGAGTTGGTCGAGCTTTCGTTTGGGGCTGGTTTCGCTTTGATGTTGGTCCTTGTTCTTATTCTTTTTCATCTTCTTCTTCTTCTTCTTCTCGGAGTCGAGCTCGGGGCTGTTAGGGGCTTCTTCGGCGACGGGTTCGTGTTTGCGACCCATGTTTGGAGATGCAAGATGGTTGGGTGAAGTGAAGGGAAGTTAACAACGCCGCGAAACTGCGAAAACCAGTGCCCAAAACTGTAACGAAGGGCAACCGCGGAAATTTATAGTTTCTAGGGTTTTGACTTTTGACTCTCTAGTTAGTTTAGCATTGGATGTAGAATATGCAAATGTTTCAATTTCATTCCTTATATTTTCAACTTGTTAGGGTATGCCTATCCATCAATCAAAATTTATTCGACCCAAATTTATAAATAAATAAAAAATGTGAGGTTTTAGTTAGATTGAGTTTAACTTTTTTTTTCTTTACTCTTTGGATTAATAATTTTTTCCGTGGATTTTGCTATGGAACACACATTTTTTTAAAAAGAAATTTAGTTTTATATATATTAAATATTTAACCTATAAAATATATATAAACTAAAATATCAATATTTTTATGAAAAATAACCAATTCTTGAAAAATTTTATGTTACCATTCATGTCAACATGTTTCGGTAATAAAATTTATAAGAATCCATTTTTATATTTAAGAATACAATTAAGAATTATCGATAGATGACTTTATAAAGTGAGTTGATCTTATTTAAAGTTTGTATAGATCTCTTATTTTGTAGTGGAGTTATCCTTGCTTATTTTATTTTATTTAAATTTTATAAAAGAAAATAAAAATTAATATTAAATTAAATTAGTCTAGTATATTTCAAATTTAAAATTTATTATTGATCAACCCAAACTAAATTAATCTTATTCTCTTTAATTTTGTTTGTAAGTTTGTTACACTTACAAACTATATTTTTTTCTTTGATTTCATCTAATCCAATAAAAAAAATTAATTCATTTTTTTCTACTGAATATTAGATTTTAATGTTGAAAATTCATCCCAATGATGTATTTTAAATTTCAATTTATCATTTTTTTTAGAAAAATTCAAATTATTATATAAAAAGTGAAAGTTGAAAACTAAAAAAAAAAAACCCACTAATATCACTATACATAATTACAAGTCAATTTATTGACCTAACTTACTACTCATCCACCCTCACACTTTACATAGGTTAATTGTTCATCATATTGTGTTAAGTTGTAATGTAATAATACAATTATTTGTTTGTTGAAAATGTAGTTAATGCTATAGAATTACATTTGAGATTTATTGATTGCTCATTATATATCAACAGTTTATATGTGATTAACTCTTATTTATTACATAGGTCGTTGCTTTTTCATGGTGCAAATAGAGCATTATAATCACAAAATGTATAATTTTACTAATTTATTTTAGTGTAAAAAGTTATTTGTGAAATGTGAACAAAAATATCAAAATGCATGTAGTGATATATGTTAATAAAAGTTGACTTCAAAAGGAAGTCATATACGACATCATTATTGAAAAAATAAAATCAAATAGCATATAGCATATATATGATACAATTATGAGCAAGTCAGCAGGATGTTATTTGAAAACGGTAAGAAAAATGTAATTTTTTAAAAAATAAGTTTAATTTTCCATACCAAATGACTCAATACAAACAATTCGAATTTGATAAAAAAAAATTATACAAATTAAAATACCTGATCCAACCAAACTCAAGTTATTTTGATTGGTTCGAGCAATGTATTTTAAAAAATCAACTCAATTCTATCACACCTAGGCGTGTTCATGGATTGATTTTTTTAAAAAATCGATCCAATCCGAACTAAATTGTTTTATAAAAGTGGACCGGTTAACCGATCTATTTTTATAAAGTGGATCGGTTTAGTTTTTTTAAAATATGGATCGGTTTTTTTAAAATTGGATCAGTTTGGTGCGGTGCAGTTATCCACTTTTTTACTCATATATGAATCGATTTTTTTAGAAAACCAAACCAAACCGAACCGATTCACTTTGTAAAAATGGATCGAATAACTGAACCGATTTTATAAAGTGGTTCAATTTAGATTTTTTTTCAAAATGGATCAAAATTTTCAATATGGATCGGATCGGTTATGGATTGATTCAGATCAATTTGAATTTTTTGCACCCCTAATCACACCCCTAAATTTACAAACTCTGGTTGAAAACATGGGACACGTGCAGTTTTCAATTCCTCTTGTCATTCAACTAATCCTAATAGGTTAAAAAAACCAATTTTGATGTAAGGCTTATAATAAATAAATATATTATACTATTTTTCAATTATTCGTAAATAATTTAAATTATATTCCAAACATATGATGTTAGACATTTTTAGATTGAGACTCTTTGACGTCGAATCCTAATTAATTAAGTGTTGTGTTGATTTATGTATCTTAAATTTGATGAAACTCGTATATTGCTTGAATTGTCGAGAGCTTGTTGAATACATGATCCAATTATCTTAAGAGTTGGATGTTGGATTTGTGGAGTCATATGATATGATTGAAATTTGGAATTTTATACGGTTAGGGTACAAAACCATCAACAACGCTATACATGGTGATTCATGTCATGGATATAATAAATATAATATATATTAGTATATTATTAAAAAATATGAATACAATATATAATGATGTATAAAATATATTATTAAATTTTATTTAAAATAAATATTAAAATTATATATAATACTACAAGAAATTTTACACATAGTGACATATAAAAAGTGTCACTATAGGTATAATATATGTAGGTATATATTTATTTGACATATAATTACACACAATTTTAGTATTGATTTTGAATGAGATTTAACAACATATTTTGTGTGTCATTAATTATAGCCTATACCATACTTTTTAATAATATACCAACAAATATTGTAGTTATTGTGTAGGTAAAAGTAATTTTTAGTGACATATATAGTGTCGTTATAGAGTGTGTGTCACTATGTAACAATTTTCTTGTAGTGTAATTATATATCAAATAAATATATAGTTATATATAATCTACTTATAATGATAAATTTTATAGTAGTTATTATATTTGATGTATGTAGTAGCATTTACAAAATTGGTAATTGTTCTTCATAAATTTGATAAGTCGTGATTTAGTAGGCTATTGGCATTATTGATAATATTGTGATGCATTACAATTAAAGCTACCAATAAAAAAAAACTCAATCTTCTTTTATGATAAATAATCAAGTTTATGCATGAAAACTTGTGTCAAGCCTTTGCATGTGTATTCTCATACTTCATATTACATAAATGTTACAAATGTTCATGTGTTATGATTGAATTACATGGTGTGTGGTGAAGTCCACTTATTCGTTTATTTACATTAATTACGATATGGTAGCATTTATTTTTATATTAGACATGTTTGTCGTGATTTGTCATTAATTTTATTTTTATATTTGATTTAAGTATAGATCATATTTCCTTTTTTATTTTATTTAAATGATTACTTTATGCTTTATAGTATGTACATCCCCCATATCTTTAAGGTAACACTATCTTACACTTGACATAATTGAGAACTTAGAATTTTGTCGAAATCACTAAACTAGGTTATTGGGCTTTCATATATGTTTATTAAAAAAAAATCATGTAATAATACACATCTTATTATTACATAATATTTATCATTAAAAGTTATTTTATTTATACTATAAATACAATATTTATTAGTATATTGTTAAAAAATATAAATATTAATGATAATAATATACAATATATATTAAATTTCCTTTAAAATCAATATTAAAATTATTTATAATTATATGCATATATTATATTTATAATGACACATTTTATATGTTATATAATATGTTTTGTAGTGATTATTTAGATTTCTCGAGGAAAGCATGTATCATAAGTCGCTTAAGAGAGCATTAGATATTCATACTATATTATTTTAAGAATCGCTAAATGACAAATTTGAACATTTGTCCACCTTTTAAGAGATAATTTATTATTTTTTACATAATTATTTTATTAAATTATATAAAATAACTAGAGAGAGTGTTTTTAAAATAATGATATTCTTAACTTCTTTCAATCTATATTTTTTTAATTTAATTTTAACATTTTTTTTTAAAACAAATTACTCAATATACAGTAGTGAATGTCTATAATAAAAAAAAATTAAAGTTATGTAATAAGTAGTAAGTGAATATAGAGATAATCCTTAATTAAAATTTTGTGTAAAAGTGAGAGGAAGGTTTTTTTAAAAAAAGAAAAAAAAAAAACAGGTAGACACTTACAAGTGTCTCAAGAAATAGAGAACAAAAAATAATTCATTTTATATATTGATATATATATATATATATATATATATATATATAATATAATACATGTTATATAAAATTTAAAAAGAGAGGAAAGACAAATTATGTGGTATTGAATGAGTGTATACATAACTGCTAATTAGAAGTTGAGTAAAATTTTGTTAAATTGAAATATTATTAAAATTAAACCCTTTGATTACCTTTAAGTTGTTGTTCAGTTTTAACAAATTTTGATATAAACATAAAGTGATATTAACTTGCAATCTAATCGTTAGATTTATAAAATTTACATTTAATATAAAATTATTGAACAGTATAATATTTAATAAAAGTTACACTAATATTATTATAATTTTTCTTATATATATATATATATATATATATAACTAAGTTAAAGTGAGAGAAAAACTTAATAGAAAAGTAAAAGAAAAAATTAAAAAAAATAAAGACATTTGAGGGCAAAACCATCCCAACAAAGTGGTAAGCAAAAGTCGATAGAAGTGAATGTATCCTTTTGTTATTTTGTTAACAGTGTAGTTAAGACATTTTGTATTTTTATCTATTTTATTTATAAATAATAATAAAAAAGAATTCAAGTTATAAAATTAAATTAAGTGAGGCAATATATAATTTAAAAGAGTAAAATAATTTTAAACTCAAAAATGGAGATCAAAGGAATTATCAAATAGGAAGGTAGTCTTACAGTGCTAATTATTTTTATAAATAAATAAAT